TTAGGTGTTGAGCAGGTAGCATACAGTGGGTTAACCTGATGTTTCTTTGCAAAATGAAATGGCCTTCTGGTGCTGATGGAAACCAACCCAATCTTATGGGAAGGCGCATGAATGGCACGCAATTCATTACTACGCATTTTAGGCTTTCATTGTGTAGTTTTGTGCTGCTTTACAAATGTCATTTAAAGCCACGTTCTTACTGGGAAACTACAGGCCAACAACATGGTTGGGTTTAAAATAAGTAAACTACAGTAAAAAAGGAATTCTTATTGCCCACAAAACGACTTAAAAATTGTTGTGTCATTCATACCCTATTTGGTGAGACATCCGCACACATCACACATATTGTTGTCTGATTTTATGTTATTATAAATATGTTGATTCATGTAGATTTAGCTGTCTGATTTCAAATCAGTCTAAAATTAATTTCCAAAAAAATCTATTTTATACTTATACTACAGGTCTGTCCAGCCCGTCCTTTGTGCCAATTCAATGTAGGCTTTTTGTCTAATGCCCTGCAGTAAGCATAGTAACTAAGTATAATTGAATTGAATACTCTCGAAAGCAGATCATCTCTTACTTCCTGAAACCTTAAATCCATCTGTAACTTCAATGTTAAAAAGAAAATACATCCTAAAACATGTAATAGACCAAATACTACATTTTGTGCATGTAAAACTGCACAATCAACACAACATAACACAGCACATGGAAAATATCCAATTACAATTGCAATACACAAATGTCTTTAAGCTATTTTGCTATTATCACAGACTTATCTTGGCCACAGGGGAATAAAGAGAACAGAAATGAATCATGAAAAAATGTGTCTGGCTCATAATTGTTGCAAAAATATCCAAATTACCAAAACATGTTGCCAGGGTATCATGGGATCATGGCCTTTACTGGAATATCTAGTTTAAATCCCTCCAGCTCGACGATATGGAACATTTATCACTTCATCTCCAGTCACCTCAATCTGCCGCAGAGCTGAGTTTGGACTGAACGCTAAACATTCATGGGAACCAGCTCTTCCTGCCGCTTTTGGATCGGTGCCAAAGCTCAGAGTTTTCTCAAGAGGCTGTTTGGCCGCTCCAGCATCTGTGAAGATTGTCTATTACTGGAGAAAAGAAGAGAAACTAAGCGTGAATCCGTTGAGTAATCGGCCTTGTAACAGTTACGACCTAGAGAGAGGAAGCTGGAGACGGACTGATAAGACACATAATACATAATGTGGTTTTCCATCCCAACTGCCAACCTCTCGCACAGTGGCTCTGTGGCTGTGTGCGGCTGTCTGCTGATAAGTCGCTCACATGAGAAATCTTTGCCTTCCTAAATTTGGATCGAACCAACATTATATCCCCCCCCCAGCATTCTGCAGATAACTGTCTCCAATCAGGGAGTCGAGATAAGCCAGAGAAGCATTACTGCTAACCAAAGTTCAGAGGTCAGCCACAAAGACTGGCACATGAAATACAATGTAGAGAAGACAGAGGGTCCTGTGGGTCATTTGTGTGACTGAGTGGAATCCTGGAGCGATCCATTACATTGATCTGTGACTGTGAGTCCAATTCCTCACATTCTCCATAGAAAGAGGAGCCGGTGGACAACAGAGCGACACAGAAGTCAAGATACAGTACTGCAGTCTTTCCTGCTGAATCATAGTGGGGGTGAGGATGACTGGAAGTTATGCACCGTGCTCTGAATGAAAAAAAAAATCTAATAAATGTGGCTTCAGCAGGAACCATGGGAACAAACAGAGCACAGTAAAAAAAAAATACAGAGCTGGTCAAAATTGCAGTTTTCCGACATCCATTTTTCAAATTGTCATGGATGGCGGTGACCTTACTGCCATGCTTATACTCCGGCCACATCTTTCACCATTTACAAATTGAATGTCACGGGATACTGAGTGGATCACGGCCATGTGATTTCAGTAATGTCAGAATGACATTCTTCAAAATGCTATTTTAATGCCACACTTTGCTGACGAGCTTCATTTCAAATGGAGTAGTGGAATGGTGCAATCACATACATTTTCCACAAACAGTGAGATTTTGGGCTTAGAATATGATTTAAGTAACAAATTCATGAGCATAGATTAAATAATATAGCAATGACACGACAGCCTTCCCTTTTCCACTCTCTCATTTCATTATTTTCTTAATAACTCGAACCACAGACTGTCTTTAACTATCACAGGCTATCTGTTGTGTATTTAGTGTATTTCACGGGACAGGGCTCGGTTTACCTCTATGCTGTCATCACTCTGTGTCCCGTCTGATTAAAGTGTGATGACAAGACAAGGGCTGTGAGTAGCTTAAAACTTATCCACACACAAACAAACAGACTGTGTTTACCTCCCATCTCACTTTCAGCCCGTCTGTGTCCCCTGTTTGCTTGTCCTCCTTTGTGTTCCCCTCATATCTGATTTGAACACTTAATTCACAAGTATTATAACTGTAGTTACTGGCATCACGTGATCTTATCGTATGCTTAAAGAACTGTCATATATGCGCATGCAAGTACTGTATGTTTGTGTAAAACAGGAGAGTTTGACATGAGTGAAGAGAGGGGCAGTCCGACTCGGACACGGCTGCAGTAGGAGGGGAGCTAATAAACGACTGCAACTCTCAGTGGTCCGACAGACAGTGGCACTTCGCATGCTGATGACAGGACACGAGCTCTGACCCACCTTTGACCGACAACTGTCAGAACCTGACACACAAGGCAGAAAATCCCGGTCAAACAGTGACGCGGATAAGGCCTTCCCACTGACCTACACGGAGCATCAGCTGGATCCACCGACTCAGTCGAGCTGAATCACATCTGCTGTGAGTATGAGCCATTTATTCATCCCAGCTAATGGATTGTGGTTTGAGCCAAGATGAGTGAAATTGCAATGCAGTCAAGTGAAAGACGGCGGCCTGTCACATTGTTTTAAATTCAACGGCAACGGAATCTAATTGAGGGAAGGACGAGGGCCCATCTTTGGTCTTTCTGCTACAGTCTCTCCAATGCCTCTTCATTTTACAGATCTTGCAGGAATTCATTTTGGTAGAAACATAAACACCACTTGAGTGCGCCGCATCTGCTTGAACACTCTCCTCTGTGGTGGCATGTGGATGGAGTTACTGTAACTCAATCACGTCTGCTCTCCGGACTCACGCCCCCTGGCCGAGGTCCTATAGATGGTTTTGGTATGCACCCTCGCCGTCTGCCGCGCTAACGTGAAGATAAGTCGTATCACCTTAACGACGGAGGTGAAATATTAGCCGCCGTTCCAGATGTAACATTATTCAGTACCTCAGGGTTGAATGTTTGTTATGCGGCTCCAAGCTCAATAACAAACGCAGTAAACTTAACACTCCCGTGTCCACTCAGCCCACTGACTGTCGGTCTTTTACAAACATTGACATATAAGGGATGGGGGAGCGTCTCCACAGCTACTCAACACTTAACGAGAGTTCTCCTCTACAGGTCACCGCTCATATGATCAGAGTTAAGACCGAATGATTCTGTAAACACCAGAGTTGCACAAAAGCAGATATCAGCTGCAAACAACAGAGCAATCATATCGGACGAAGAGGTACTTCTATGCAGCTCAGACTAAGAATGCCGCACACTTTGATAACCGAGGAGCCACAAAGCTTGCGCTCAGCGCGGCACTTCACGGCTGCGATCCGGTCTTGTAACTGTCCCCTTTCATGTGTGCGTGTGGACATGAGCACAGTAGAGAGGGCCTCTGTTTTCATGCGAGTGTGAAAAAAACAAAACACAGAGGCGTCCGGGAAGTGTGAGCTTAAGTGGCGAAGAATAGAGAGTGGATGTTGACAGGGGGGTTATCTGAGGTCGGACAGCTCCAAAGCTCCTCCACCGGCCAGATAATGAGAAGAAAAGCGTATGTTTCATAGATTGCTGCCCATCGAGGAAGCCCAAGATTTTCTGCGCAGGTTGAGAAGTACATTTTTGATTTTTTACAGAAGTATGCGTTTGATGACTTATGTGGAAGTGTTATCAGGAAGCCATAAAAATCATACTTTATTTGGAAATGATGCCCGCAATATACACAGAGAAGAACCAGAGGGAGGAGGAGATAAGGTAGTCAATTCATACTTTTCAAATATTTACACTTTTGACCGCTCCCTATATTTCCTGGAATTCTAATCATTACAACACCCATATTTAGAGGACTAACCTCAGTGCATTCTTTTATGAACATATCAACAACATGGGCTGCAATCCCTGTTGAGGGTGGAACGCCATCTCACTCCCTCTGGAAATGAGTCACGTCAAACAGAGGAGAGCCCCAGATGCTATCTCTCACCGGCTGGGCTCACCCATACCAACTTTCACACATACTGTGAGTCACGAGGCCGACTACACGACCACCAGAGGGAAAAGACCACCACTGCACTGCACTGCAACATGTTTGTGTTTCTAATTGCCAAGGCAACGAAAAGCTGAGTTTACAGCGAAATATTCCATTTTGGAAAAAGTCCAAAATAGCTTTCTCTCACTTTGCTGTACTATAGACATAAATACAATCAAATGCATGCAAGGCTTGATGAACACAATGTGCTAAAAGAGCAAGTTACCTCAAATATGTTCTTATTGAACAATGTCTACTCTATGAAATGTATGTTGGATGTACTTCTGCTAAATATATAGATTCAGATTCTATATTTACTCAGCAAGCAACAACAACAAAATTGAAGTTTAGTGTAATTTGTAATAACAGCAAAAAAAGAAGAAGCTGGAAACAGTGTCAGAGAGAAGAAGAAAAGAATCATCAAAAGCACATAACTGCTTTCAGTTACCACGACAGCCAAACAATGATCTGTCAGGTCACTACACATACAGCACGTTAGTAACTTAGGCAACCCATGCGCTATTACGCATGGCACGTCTATATTGGGAACCCTGGCCGTGGACCAGAGGGTCACTCCATGACGTAGCGACGCACGCAGGGCGTTGTTCTCCCATAATGAGACACTTTATAACAGCACGTCAGCCCTGGCATCAATCTAGTCTGAGAGCGACTTTTAGAACTGGGACTACCGCTGTTGGACTCTTTTGGGAAAACTTGCTTTTGTTTCTTGCGAGCCTGAAACTGTTTTTTTTTTGTGGAAATACAAGCTCTTCGCTCTCAGTAAGTGGATTTTGTTAACTTTCTCATATTCAGCTGCGCACAGTCTGTGCTGGCGATTCAATGAGGAAACGCGCTTTTCGCTGGGATACCCGCCGCTCCATTACGCACACAGACAGGACGGCTGAGCTGTCACCGCAAATAAAATGCATAATTGGTCGCTAAGAAATCATTTTTAAGTAAATAATACGGGATTTTACTTTGCTACCTTATTTTAAAGTTCTTGTTGTTATTGCTGTTTAATATCCTGCCCTCAAATTGTTTCCATTTTGTAGATGACAAACCGGCATTTTAAAGCCATCTTAAAAGAACAGGGCTTTGCAACGAAAGAGGAACGCAATTTGGAAAGATTTAAGCTTTTTTTTTAAGGCATTTGTTAGAGTAAATAAAAACAAGAAACGTGAGATCAGCTTCAAAGTTGAATCCTGTCAAACTTAAACTTTAAAGTAAATCAAATTTGTAGAATACCAACAGTGACTTTATCTTACACGTGATGTTATTACCGTTAATGTAGCCTACACGCTGCCAGCCGATGAAGTTTCTCTGAAGGCTGTTCGTGCTGAACGTGCTGCAGCGACACACCCATGTCCCCCCGATCAGACATCCGCACACGCACACGCACGCACGCACACTCACATACTGACAGAGACCGTCTCCTCTTCTCATTACTGTCCAGATCGCCTGAAAAGATGCTGCTCCTTCTCCTGGGAATCGTCCTCCTGCACGTCGCTGGTCTGGTCCTCCTGTTTGTGTCAACAATTGTCAGCGTGAGTAAAACTGCCTTTATGTTTCTTTCGTTCTTTGATCAGATGAATTTAATCTTAAAAATGTAATATAAATGGACACAAAACTCCCTATTGACGCTTATTGATGTATTATACCTGCAGGAAGAACTATAATGTACTTTTTCTTTTAAGATACACTTCATAGTTTTAGGAATTTGAATATGCCAGTGAAACTGATTGTTTTGGTGCTGCTCTTCACACATTACTGACCGAGTTGTTTGTTGTTGACATCAGGTTTGGACGTCAGGTGAAACTGGCACCTCAGACCTCTGGACAAACTGCACTACTGCCAATGGAGGATACCACTGTGACCCGGCAACAACTGGAGGTCAGACCCCTGCCTGATAGTTTACAGTTTTCCTTTAAAACAGCAATTTATTTAGAATACAATGGCCACTGTTTGACATTTGAATCACTGCTCTGCTGTGAAGCTGCTACACATATCAGGATTTGCTCCCCTTTCATGTTTTGCTTTGGGCTAAACGGTCACAAGTTTAAAGCACCCACACTGTTATTAATGGGGAACTTGAACTTTGTGAAATGACTTGCTGAAATCCAACATTCCCAGTGTTGATGATGTGGGTGTGTCACGGCTCCTCTGGGACTCTGGTGCCATCTAGGGCAGAGAATGTGGCATTGCTGTTTGGAACTGCCAGCTGATAGGCTGCAGCTGTATAAATAGTCGTGGTGTGATGTCCATATTCAGGTCCCGCGTTAGATGGGATTCCACGGTTGATGGGAGCTCGAGAGTTGTGGAGGGATCAGGGTGGGGCCGCAGAGAGTATTTAAAGTTTCAGATCTATGTGTGTGTGCATGCCTGTGACAGTGTCGGAAAAGCGGGGAGACCTTGGACTACCTCATGTAGTACATAGCATATTGATGGTGGGTGACGCCCAGCGATGGATCACAGTGTCCAGTGTTTGCAGGGATCATCGGGACAATTTAAGGTAGCAGCTGCAGCGTTACAGATTTATCAAGACAGTCGACCTCCACATGTGTGATTGACTTTGACAAGATATGTGGGGATATATAGATTCCATTGTTGTTAAAGACCCCTACCTAATAACATTCCCATTGTCCTAATATGAATGATTTAGCAACAACTTGATGGTGAGATCACTGTTGAGCAGCTCTATGTTTTGCTACTAAATGTGCCATCACAGTGGAGCCGCCGGGTGATGTCATCGGTCTAGAATGAGCCGCACTCAGCCAGTGTGTGTGTGTGTGTGTGTGTGTGTGTGTGTGTTTTGTCCGGGCTGCAGCGCCTGCACGCTCTGCCAGGTAGCTCCACGGCACAGCCGGTCTGTTTGACTCGCTTTCATTAGCGCCACTGACGCACAGTGTTTATTTAAGAGGGCGCGCGTCCGGGCTCTGGCTTTGAGAGATGGAAGATAGTGGGGCCGTTCTCACGTGGGTGCCAATTCCTGCGTTCAATGGAGCCTTTTTGAAGCTTTGCTGAGCAATCAAGTTCCTTCTGAAGTGAATCATAATCACAGTCATCATGGTCATTTTGAGGGCATTTCTGATACTTCTCAGTTGGTTGCCTTGGCTCCATTTGGTTTTGATGACGCCCTAGTGAGAGATACTCATGTCACAGTTATCACATGCTGGGCTCGAGTTAAATACCACTTCCTTACAGCTGGGAAAATTACTTCATAGAATTTACTCCTCTAAAATGAGCTATTGAGGAAGCATGTCTTCCGCCTCCAGGCAGGCATACAGTACATAAACACAACGAAATACTACAGCAGTTTTATATTCTATTTTCAGCACCTTAAGTTACTGGGTCGTAGAATAGAAGGCAGAAAAAAACATCAACAGTTAGTTTCCCGTTTGGTGATACGGTGAAAGTCTACAGTAGAAGCATTGTAATACCACAGTAATAAACCAAGGCATTCAAACACATTTTTGAATATGAGTCACAGTTGCTTATCAGTGACATTCTGAGCCCTGAACCGCGCCTCATGTCACTGTTTCCTACTGTTGGTCAGGGAAGGAAGGAAGGAAGGAAGGAAGGAAGGACAAGATGCGTGTTTGTCAGAAAGCAGTGATGTATTGTCGGTATTTATAAGGCAGGGATGGAACATTTCACCCGTTTCTCACAGTGTTATTACACATATATCTGAAAACAGGATCATGAGAATGGAATCTAAATGTTGCTCTGGCTGCATCTTGCGGATGGAGAATTTGCAGCGTGTCATGTTTCCTCCCATATCCCCCCGCCCCCTAGCCAATGATCATCAGGACAAACTGTAGCTCTGTTATTGTAGGTAATCTGACTCCTGGCAACGCTGTGCAAGGATTCAGGATACCCTTTCCCTTTAAATCTATCAGATTCTCCAGGAGAACTGCATGATTCTTAGTGAACGTCCACAGAAAGTAAAGTAACAACTACAGGACGATGACATGTTTTCATTTTAGCCTACAGCGTTCAAACGTGTTCGATCAAAGTCGTAACATCGCGCAAAGTAAGCCGGCCAATTACTTTATCACCCTTTTTGTTGCATGAGCTGTAATAAATTATGCATCATGCTCTTTTTCCCCCAATGTTGTAAGTGCCCCCCCC